ATTGGAGCATTTAGTCCATTTACACTCAGTGTTATTATTTAAAAATATGGGTTTAGAGTCATGTGTTCTTTGTAGGATTCATGCTTGTGATGCTTTCTCTGGTACCTTGTATTCCTGGCAACATTTCCCTCAGAGAGTTCCCCTCAGGATTTCTTGTAGGGCTGGTTTAGTGGTGATGAATTCTTTCAGTTTTTGTTTATTTGGGAAGACTTTTATCTCTCCTGTTCTGAATGACAGGCTTGCTGGATAAAGGATTCTTGGTTGCATATTTTTTCTTTTCATCGCATTGAAGATTTCCTGCCATTCTTTTCTGACCTGCCAAGTTTAAGTAGATAGGTCTGTAAGCACTCTGATAGGTTTCCCTTTGTGTATTAGCTGCTTTCAGAATTCTCTCTTTGTCCTTGTATTTTGCCAGTTTCACTATGCTATGTCGTGCAGAAGATCGATTCAAGTTACATCTGAAGGGAGTTCTCTGTGCCTCATGGATTTCAATGTCTGTTTCCTTCCCCAGATTGTGGAAGTTCTCTACTATAATTTGTTCAAGGACTCCTTCAGTGCCTTTCCCTCTGTCTTCCTCTTTTGGAATTCCTATGATACAGATATTGTTCCATTTGATTGTATCAGTCAGTCCTAGAACTCTCCTTTCATGTCCCTGGATCAGTTTATCTCTCTTTTTCTCGGCTTCATCTTTTTCTATAATTGTCCTCTAATTCACCTATTCTCCTCTCTGCCTCTTCAGTCCGTGCACTTTACGCCTCCATTTTATTATGCACCAATTTATAGCATTTTTTAATTCATCACAACTATTTTTAAGCTCCATAGTCTTTGTAGCAATAGTTTCTCTGATGTCTTCCGTGCCTTTTTCAAGCCCAGCGATTAATTTTATGACTATTGTTCTAAATTCTTGTTCAGTTATGTTGCTTATATCTGTTTTGAGCAGTTCTTTAGCTGTCAATTTTTCCTGGAATTTCTTTAGAGGAGAGTTCTTCCGTTTTGTCATTTTGGCTAGCTTTCTGTCTCTTATTAGTTTTAAAAGCTTGTTATGCACTCTGCACCTGTGAGTACTGCTGTATTAAAGAAGACTCTTTGACTGTCCAGGGCCTGTCCATTCTGGATGTGTTCTTAGAATGGTGTGTCTTGGTCTTTCTTGCTGAGACTTTGGTTATTTTATTTCCCTACTCGTAGTGGTATTTGGGACTCTCCACCATGTGTACTTTGGCTTGTTTCTTGAGGTAGCGCTGGAAACGAAAACAGACAAACACAGGGAACAAAGGCATACAAACACAGACAAATCAACAAACATGCAAACCGAAAGGGAAAAAGAAAAAAGAAAAAAAAAGAGGAAGGAGGAAAACCAAATAATAAAAATATAAAAAAGAAGAAAAGAAAAAAGAAACCCAAGAGACAAAGGACAGTCTAAAAGCATAAAACCAGAATTCCCAGCCTCAGATAAAGGGCAGGGTATATGCAGTGCTGATGGAAGAGCAGATACAAAGAAATGACACAGCAGGGAGGAAGTGAAACTGGACAATAACCAGGCAGAGACTAAGAGGCTTAATTCAGAGAGAAAGAGGAGAATATGGCAAGAGGCGAGGAGAAAGAAACGAAAATAATGTTACTCAAGAGAAACTATATAGTTTGATTACTCCAGAGAGAGAGAGAGAGAGAGAGAGAGAGAGAGAAAGGTAGCGGTGGAGGTGTAGAATATACATCTAGAGAATGTATTAAATGTGTCTGTTTAAGCAAACCAGTGACCAGAGTGCCCAGTCCAGCAGAGGGGAGGGGTACGAATGAGACAAGGAAAACTATATTTGAATATAAAGCATCAATCTATAATTAATCATGGTAGTGCATCCATGTTGGTCTTGCCCCGGCTCCGGTAAAAAACAACAACAACAAAAAAACCCCAAAAAGTCTTGCCCCGGCTCCGTTAAAAAAAAAATAACAAAAAAACCCCCAAAAAGTCTCTAGTAGGGATGGGCGTGGTTTGGTGTAGGCGGGTCTTAGCCTCCACTGTGTCCTGCACCTGCTCCCTGAGGCCCCGACTCGGTGGTTGTGGGGAGAAAAGTGGTAGCGCCCAAGTCCCATCTCGAACCAATCATTGCAAATCACTCTTTTGGGTCTGATCTCCTTGTTCTGCGGGCGCAGCCAAGGTGTGCTGTGTTCTGTGTCCCAAACCACACCTCGTTTCCAGATCCTTGTCCTCCCGCTTTATTGATACACCCGAAATATGAACCCGCAGGCCGAGTCCTTCCAAGCAGTTTCAGCTTGGAAGCTGGAGGAGGTGCGGAGCTGTTTCAGGCCAAGCTGCTTCCCCGCTGGGAATCCAGCCGGATGAGCGGCTGGCGGAGTGGTTTGGGCCTCACCGGTTCCCCACTGGGGATCTAGCCAGAGAGCTGGGCGGCAGAGTGGTTTCAGGCTGCGCTGCTTCCTCTCTGAATCGAATCGAGTTGGAAAGCAGAGGGGCAGTTTCTCCTGGCGCCGTCTGGCACTGGGGATCCAGCTGAAAGTCGGCTCCACAGCTGGGAACCAGGTCACTCGCTGTCTGGAGCCTAGGTTTTTCTCTTCTCCAGGGACAAGGACAGTTCTTTGGGCAGTTTCAGCCGCTCTTTCTTTCCCCTTCACTCACCGCAGCTCCCCACAAAGGGGGCTCCCTCCTCTCCCTCCGTCCCTGCCCGTTTTTATCTTCCCCAGTTCCCGTTCATGCACCTATAAGGTTGTTTTCTCAGTGGACTCTGCCTCCTTTTCCTTCCAAACTCCTGCGATCCTGTAAGGGCTCCTACGGCTTCAGGCCTTCTCCGTTTGAGAAATAGGGACGAGCGAAATGTACGGAGCTCCCCACTTCTCCCCCATCCTTGCCCCCTCTCCAGGATACATTTTTAAAAATTAGTGTGCCTAATTTTTTTTTTAGTGGTGCCTAATTTTTTAATCCTCCACTCAGTTTTGTCTAATCTTAACATGTTGCCATATTTTTGTCTTTTTATTAAGAAATAAAATATGACAGATCTGCTTAGAACCCTCTTCTATTTCCTTTTTTTCCCTCCTATGAGTCGTACTCTCTTAAAACTGATATTCATCATTCCCATGGCATGTGTTTTACACACACACACACACACACACACACACAGGAAACAATGAGGAGTAATATTCTGAAGTTTTTTTATAAATGGAGTCATCATACTCCACATATTTTCTGCCACTTCATTATTTTCTACTCTCTTTTGGGATCTATGTTGGAACGCCTTCTTACTCATTTTAACTGTTACTTAGTATCCCATTGTCAAAATTACCAGTTTACTTACTCATTCCTGATGATGGGCCTGTGTTTTTTTCACTGTTTTTGAGGCCATGCATGTGTGATGTGGTGGGGGATGTTCCTGCAGAGTATTTCCTTGTGGAAGTATATGAACTGCTCTCCAGGACATGTTCCTAAAGGGACCTAACGAGTCATGGGGGCGTGCTCTGCTTCAGCGCTCCGGTGCGTTTTGCCAAGTTGTAGCCCAGAGTGTTTGTACCCATCCTCCCAGCAGGAGATGGGGTTCTGCTGGCTCCCTACATTCACCAGTTCTAGGTTCTGTGGTTGAAATTCCGTTCCTTTCGTGGATAGGAAAGCTTATCTCATTACAGCTTAAACGTGTATGGCCCTAATTTGTAATGTGGTTGAGCACAGTTCATGGTCACAGTTCATTTGGGTGCTCTTAGCCTGTTTTCTATGGTTTATCTTTTGGTTACTGACATGTAGGAGCTCTTCTATGTTTTGAACACTAATCCTTTGTCGGAGAAGAGTTTCAAATACCTTCGTGCCATCTGTGACTTACATTCATAGGGTTTTTATTGTATGGAAGTTTTAAATTTTAATAGAGCAAAAGATCAGTCTTTTATGGCTTTTGCTTTTGCATCTTTAAAAAATATTTACCAAGCATGGAGTAATAAATACATACTTATAAAAATTTTAAAGTTTTGCTCTTTATTTATTGTTAATGGGCTTAGAATTTACTTTGGTTATAGTATGAGATGGGGAGTTACTCTTCTCTTCTGTAGATCTACTTCCTTATACCAATACCCTGTATCCAGTGTTCCATCCTTCTCCCGTTAGTGGTTGCTGCCCCACATCTGTCACATAGCAAACATCCACAGGCTTGGGTCTCTTTCTAAGGCTGTTGCTCCGTTGATCTGTGCCTAGAGCAATGCCATAATCTGCCTTAACTTTGACACCAGGTGGGGGGTCCGCCCAGACCCTCCCATGTTCTTGATGTTCTTCAGGAGCCTCCTGCCTGTCCTTGGCCCTTTGCTTTTCCATATATAATTTTATGAAATTTAATTTAAATTTCCTTCAAGAAAAACCTGAGATTTTGGGTGAAATTGCACTGCATTTATGAGTTAATTTAGATATACCTGATTTTAAAATTGTTTAGGTTCTTAAAAGAATAAATTACTGGTTTTTGCAAAAATAAAAAAACAGTTCTCCAAGAGTTCTGAATACTCAAGGTTTTATTAGCTTTTAAAAGATTTTTTTTAATGTTTAGTTTTGAGAGCGAGAGAAGCAGAGCATGAGTGGGTGAGGGACAAAGAAAGGGGGAGACACAGAGTCCGAAGCAGGCTCCAGGCTCTGAGCTGTCAGCACAGAGCCGAATGTGGGGTTCAAACTCGGGAATGAGGAGATCATGACCTGAGCCGCAGTCGGCTGCTTAACCGACTGAGCCACCCCAGCACCCCTAAGTTTTATTAGATTTAAATAATATAACAGTGGTTTGAAAATCCCTAGCCCCTAGTGATAGGTTTTCTGACTGGATTTTTGAGTACATTATATAGGATATAATTCACACTTGGGTTCACCTCCACTGATGTTGGAGGAAAATGTTTCCCGTTCTACCTGTGCCTGTACTTTTAAAATTTATCTCAAAACTCCATCTAGTGTCCATAGATAATAGAATGTTGGCTGCATTCCATCTAATCAGACTGGATTAATTATTTGCTAAAAACTCCTCTTTGTCTTACAGAGACTTACAGCCAGTACAGGAAGCAAACAGCGCAGTCGCCTTTCCGTCATGGCCCAGTACCTGTGCAACGTTGAGCACATCTTGACCATTCCAGGTCAGGCTTTTGTCCCTAAGCCAGAGGTGAGTTTCCATTTCTTTGTACATCTTTGTTCATCAGAGGCTATGTCCCAGGAAGTTATCTCTAGGATCTGATCTTCACTTCTATGCAAACTGTACTGTTTCTTTATCTCTCCTGAATAAGAAAAATCGCAATGTGTGAATAGTTCTTGTCCTAATTTTTCTCCCTTTTCCAGTGACTAAATGTTTAGGCTTATCCACGTTGCCCGGTGGTGGTATTATCGCCTTGTACTCTTCAAAGTATTCCAGGAGGGAAGATAAGTTATATGGTCACCTAATCCTCAGAGAAAGAAATCGGCATTTGTTTTGTGATTTCTGGATAGATTTCTAAATCAAGTCACTTCTAACACTTTTTATCATGAATTTTTTTTCCACCTTTTTTTTTTGAAGAACAATTAACATACAGTGTTATATCAGTTTCAGTTGTACAACATATTGATCCAGCAGTTTTCTGCATTACTCAGTGTTCACATCCTAAGTGTAGTCACCATCTGTCCTCATACAACGTTGCTAGAGTGTTAGTGATTATATTCCCTGTGCTCTACCTTTCATCTTCATGACTTATTTTTTAAATGCTTATTTATTTGTTTTGAGAGAGCGTGTGTGTGTGTATGAGTGTGAGCAGGAGAGGGGCAGAGACAGGGAGAGAGAGAATCCCAAGCAGGTTCCATACTGTCGGCACAGAGTCCCACCAGAGCTCGATCCCATGAACTGTGAGATCACAACCTGAGCTGAAATCAAGAATTGGATGCTCAACCGACTGAGACACCCAGGTGCCCCATGACTTATTTATTTTATAACTGGAAGTTGTATTATTTATTTTACCCATCTTATTCCCCTTCCCTCTGGCAATCACCAGTTTGTTCTTTGCAGCTAAGTCTGGTTTTAGGCTGGTTTGTTTCTTTGTGTCTTATTTGTTCATTTGTTTTGTTTTTTTAGATTCCGTGTGTAATTGAAATCATGTTATTTGTCTTTCTCTTACATATTTCACTTATCATATACATTCTAGGTCCATCCATGTTATTACAAAAGGCAATATCTCATTCTTTTTTATGGCTAAGTAATATCTTTATCTATAAACGGACACTTGGAATACTGCCATATCTTGGTTGTTGTAAATAACAACTGCTATAAATAGGAGTGTAGATATCTTTTCAAATTAGCGTTCTTGTGTTTTTTGGGTATATTCTAGTAATCATATTACTGGATCTTTTGGTATTTCTATTTTTAAGTTTTTGAGAAATGTCCAAACTGTTTTCCGCAGTAGTTGCACCAATTTACATTTCTACGAACAGTGCACAAGGGTTCCTTATTCTCTACGGTCTCACCAACATTTGTTATTCTGTCTTTTTGATTCTAGCCATTTTGGCAGATAGAAGGTGATGTCTCATTGTGGTTTTGATTTCCGTTTCTTGATGATTAGGGATGTTGAGCATTTTTTTCATGTGTCTGTTGGCCATCTGAATGTTGTCTTTGTAAAAAAATGACTCAAGTCTTATGTCCATTTTTTCAGTTGAATTGTTTCTTTGGTGTTGAGTTAAGTTCTTTATATAACTTGGATACTAACCTTTTATCAGATCTCTCATTTGCAGATATCTTCTTCCATTTATTTATTAGATTGCTTTTTGTTTTGTTGATGATTTCTTTTGCTGTGCAAAAGCTTTTTATTTTGGTGTAGTCCCGATAGTTTATTTTTGCTTTTGTTTTCCCTTGCCTCTGGAGTCATATGTAGAAAAATATTGCTGTGGCTGTGTCAGAGACATATTGCCTATGTTATCTTCTAGGGGTTTTATGGTTTGAGTTTCACATTTAGGTTTTTAGTCTGTTTTAAGTTTATTTTTGTGTATGGTGTAATACACATACACAGTATGTGTTTTCCAATTGTTTTTATACTTCTCCATTCCTTTGTTGCTCTCTTCCCTTGTGGTTTGATGGCTTTCTTTAGTGTTATGCTTGAACTTTTTTATCTTTATTTTCTGTATATCTATCACAGGTTTTTGGTTTGTGGTTACCATTAGCTTCATGTATAATATCTTAACGTGTATAGCAGTCTGTAGTAAGTTATGGTTGCTTAAGTTTGAACATATTCTAAAAGCACTAAATTTTTACTCCCCCTCATGTTTTATGTATATGATATCATATTTTACATCTTTTTATTTTGCAAAATGTGAAGTCCCTTGGCTGATTTTTATACACATAATTGATTTTACTATTTTTGTATTTTAACCTCGATACTGTCTTAAAATGATTAATCTACTGCATTTATTAGAAGTTTGCTTTTATGTGTGAAGTTTTTTTTCCTTTCATAGCTTTCTTCTAGTTATGGCCTTTTCTTTCCACTCAAGTCCCTTTAACACTTCCTGTAAGTCTGTTTTAGGGGTGATGATCTCTTTCAGTGTTTGTTTGGGGAGACTCCTTATCTCCCCTTCAGTTCTGAATAGTAATCATACTGGATACAGTCTTTCTGGTCGCTGGTGTTTTCCTTTCAACACTTTGAGTGTATCATGCCAAAGCCTTATGGGATTTCCCTTGTATGTGACTGTTTCTTTCTCATGCTGCTTTTGAAATTCTCTCTTTATTACTCCTTTTTTATACTTTAAGTATTTTATGCATTGGTATGAACATCGTTGGATTAATCTTGTTCAAGGTTTTCTGTGCTTTCTGGATCCAGATGTCTCTTTCCTTTTCCAAGTAAAGTTTTCTGCCTGTTTATATTTTCTCCTCCTAGGATCTCATTAATGCAGTTGTAATTAACGTGATGATGCCTCTGAGTTCCCTTAACCTACTCTCATTTGTTATTCTTTTTTTGTTTTGCTGTGCAGCTTGATTGCTTTCCAGTGCCCCGTCTTCCAGATCACTGATCCATTCTTCTGCCTCCTGCGATCTGCTGTTGGTTCCCTCTAGTGTATTTTGTTTTTTATTCCACTTGTCGAGTTCTCCGTCTCTGACTGGTTCTGTTTTATATCTTCTCTTTGTTGAAGTTCCTAGTAAGTCTAGTACCTTTATGGCCATTCCTTTTAATTTTTATCAGGCATTTTGCTTATCTTCCTTTAGCTCTTCTGCTATGATTTTTGTCCTTTCATTTGGGACATATTCCTGTCTCTTTGTTTTTGTCTAACTTTGTTTCTGTGTATGAGGGAGGTGAGCTATGTCCCCTGGCCTTGCGCAGAAGTCACATGGTGCGCTGTAGCCCAATGTGCCCTGGTCACCAGAAGCAGGTGCCACAGGGGTGTCTCCTGCATGGACTCGGTGCACCGTGCTGTCGTGGCTGCGCCAGGTGGTCCTTAGCCCAGTCAGCTGCATGACCCACTTTGGCGTGCTGTGGGCGCCAGATAGGGCCTGGCCCTTGTGCTGTTGAGTGCCCATCTGAGCACTCCATGGGCCTCTAGGTGGATAAGGTCAGCGATAGACCAGCTGTCTGCAGTCAGCTTCTGCACAGCTGCGGGCACACCGAATGGCAAGGTTTTGTCCCTGTGTAGCCAGCTAGAGGCTCAGCTACCGGAACTGGACACAGCGCTGTGTGGAGGTTTCCCTCCTCCTCCCCAGGGCAGGAGGCACATTGGGAATGGCCTCAGGCCCTGCCAGGGCTGCTTGCAGCATGTGGCAGGGAGGGAGCCACTTTGGAGGGACGCCTGCCAAGGCGGGCAGGTTACATGAGGCCGGTCCACAGGAGAGCACGGGGGAGGGGCACGCAGCGTAGCTGGACAGGTGCGCAGTGCCAGCGCTGCTCCCCACAAATGCGCAGCTATCTGGGCTGAGCGAGGGTAAGAGAACTGGCATCTGCCAGCACTTGTCTTCTCGGGGAGGTCTTCTGAAGACCTGCTCTTCTAGTGCACGTTTTGAGATTAGTAAGTAAATCTCCAGCACATAGACCACAGGCACTTTTCAAGCTCCTGGTTTTGTGCTGTGTCTTGGGTGGAGCTATTTAATATGCTGGCTCTTTAAGGGTGGGGACTCAGTTTCCTATGACCTCTTGCTCTCCTGGAGTTAATTACACTGATTTTTAATGTACCCAGAGTTAAGCCCCGCTGATTTAAAATTTTTTGTAATGTTTTTTATGTATTTCTGAGAGAGGAAATGGCAGCGTGAGCAGGGGAGGGTCAGAGAGAGAGGGAGATACAGAATCTGAAGACAGGCCCCAGGCTCTGAGCTGTCAGCACAGAGCCCAACGCAGAGCTGGAAGCCATGGACCATGAGATCATGACCTGAGCCAAAGTCAGACGCTTAACCAGCTGAGCCACCCAGGTGCCCCAAGCCCTGCTGATTTTAAAAGCTCCCTAAATTAAGTCTCACTGGTTTTGAAAGCCAGCTGTAATGGGTGCTTGTCTTCCCAGTGCTGGGTGCCTGGTATCCGGTGCAACCTTCCTTCTCCCTGCCCTCCTGCTGTCCCTCTTATTGGGGGCACGGGGGGGGGGTTGGTTCCCAACCACAGCTCTGCTCCTCCTCCCCTTTCCAGTGTCGCCTTTTCTGTGATTAGCTGCAGGATCCGTTCTGCAGTTGTCAGGTCATGTTTAGGGTTAATTGCACAGATGTACCTATTACCTGGGGTGTCCATGGATGAGGTGGGCCAGGGGTCCCCCTCCTCCCGCACCGCCTTCTTCCAGTCCTCCTCTTTCCACATTTTTAAGAGATCCTATTTTGGCAGTGTTACTTGTGATTAATCATCTGTGGAAAATAGTTGGATATTAAATGAGACTGTTACTATTATAAGCTAATTACAGAAACAAAGTTTCTCTGCCAAAAATGAAAAATGATAAAGTGGTGTCTGTTTCAGCAAAACTACTACTGGATGTGTTACTCCAGGACATCTATTATGAAAACTCATCTATTTCGGGGCGCCTGGGTGGCTTAGTCGGTTAAGCGTCCGACTTTCGCTTAGGTCATGATCTCGCAGTTCGTGGGTTCGAGCCCCGCGTCGGGCTCTGTGCTGACTGCCAGCTCAGAGCCTGGAGCCTGTTTCAGTCTGTGACTCCCTCTCTCTCCGACCCTCCCCTGCTCACACT